AATTATTTGTAAGATTTTTTAATGTGCATTGCCTGGGTGTATGCGTTTTAATAGGAACGCGCAGGTTCGTATGCAAGTGCGCTGTGTGCAGTCATGTGAAAAAGTGTAAAATATGTTGCGAAGTAGTTCCCCCGTTTTAATGCGTTCTGCACTTATAATTCCCTGGAAATATCGGCATATATGTGCAACATAGTGAAAAATAAGATAATCGAATCAAAACACAGCACAAGTGGAGGACATCATTCACAAAATAATTGTAATTTTTTTTCTAATTGGCACAACTTATTTGGGTCACTTGCGTAGTCAAAGATGAATTACTTTATTGATTGTGATAAGACAACAGATTATTAGTTTACTGTTAAGTGTCAGAAGAATGAACGAGGTAAGTGTCTCCAAATCATTGCCTGTTATCAGTTCTAATCCGTCATTTCTACTATGAGTCTCAATTCTCAAACTTTTTATTCCTTACTTAATTGCATCGTAGACAATGCCTTCCATCCACCGTAGTTTTGCGTCATACTTTGTATTTGGTAGGTTATAACCGTTAGTGGTGGTGGTTGTCAATGTTCTAATTTGACCTATTTGACCTATTCTACCTATTATGATACCACATGAGTGCAATAAAATTCTTTAAACGTTATACCTTATTGAATCATTAAACTATAACCTTATGTCATTCTTTTTGTATTAATAGGTTGACAAAAACAAAGAATATGTTTAATATGGCCTATTATCTATCTCTATTTCTCCTTCGGTTTAGGAATTAGAACATTCTGACGTAAGACATATCTGCCGTAAAAGGCGAATAAAATCCAGTAGACACCGCCTGATACTGTTTGAATTGTAGCTGATAGCCAGTGTCAGGCTGTAGGTAAAACCAGCAGAGGTGTAAGATAGTCCCCACCAAGTAGGAAATCATATTCAAAGGTATAGCTTTAATTGGTACCCATGGAAATCTTTGAGGTTTCATGGGAAGTGTGGTTACTTGTTTAACTTTGGATACTGTTTCTCTTCATCATCGCAACTTTTATACTGAATTAATTTCTTTAACAATCGAATGAAGAAAAAACTATTTATAATCGAAAGAACCTCTGTAATTTTTTCATGCTCCATTTAAGTCAAATTAGTCTCGTGTGTGAATATGTTGTTATTCGATTTGAATGAATATACTGTTTAGAAATTTATTTCACATTACAAATTTTTATTATCTGTTCTTTTACTAGAAGAGATTAAAGAGTATGTAGTTTCTCATCTACTTTACCATTTCCCTTTATATCGCTAAATTTCGCCTGACACCCTTATAATGTATAATGTAGTGAACGGCATTTAAAAATATATGATATTTGTTTTATATAGTATATATATGTAGCAAATTACATTAACATTAATTACAAAAAAAAAAAAAAAAGAATTAGTGGAATTCTTAGTGGAATTAAAACTGAAATGGTATCATTTCCGCTGCGGTTCTATTTAATACATTTAACATATAATTTTGGTAGCAAAAATAGATGGTATGACTAATCGTCCAATACTCTGAAATAACTTAGAAAATTTAATAAAATTATATTTCATATGAATATCATGTCAATGTTCAATATAAATTACAAGGATGCTTGTTCTCTCCCTTTTTCTTTTGTTAGAATTTATTTTCAAATTAATACTTTTCAATTTTTTGTCTAATTTTTTATTACTCCGATTCTATTTCAATGTTAAAAAATCTTTTTTTCTCTTACTAATTTCCACTTCGCACGTAACGGAAAGATCATAAAAAATCATTTGTCGCGGAACTTCCGTTTGCTTTCAATTATGCGGAATTTATATGTGAAACATGAGCCGCCACCGAGCACATCGTTAACAATTCACCAATCGACAATAAAATCAAGGAACGTACCCCGATTGGAGTTCGTTGGAATATGTTTATGCCTTAAAAAATCGAAAAATTGCAAGTAAGCGAACGGAAGTGAACTTCAAATCGAGGTTTCGGCAATTTTTAATTAAAAAGTAAAATAGATTTTTTATACAACTATTTGAACATTTTACATAAAGATTTGTGGGAATTTCAAAAATACTCAAAACATTCTGATTTTTGTTGAGTTGTTTATATGTAAATAGTTTGCTGTTAGTTACTTACACTTCCAGTTTCATTTTAATTCAGTCCAGTGTCCAGTCTCATTTTAATTCAAAGTCTAATTTATTAAATAGTCGAACGGAAAAACTCTATTTATAATCTACTTGATGCTTCTGTGTCACGTATGGACTAGATGTCAGATAATATTATGATGACAACTATCTGAACAGATTACACCAGTTTCCACCAGATAATTGACCTTGAACTTCAATAGACACCGAATGATATTTTGGATAAAAAGCAACACAAAAGTCATGGTATAAGAGGTATAAGAGCGGTAATAATTTTGCAAACTCATTTTAAAATAAAAAAAAAGTTTTATGAAATATTCACTAAAATATTTGATTTATAAAAATGTCCTCATCATTCAAAACTTACGGGAAAATATACAATTTCAATTCCGTAATTTAAACACACATATATTCCAAATTCGAGGTAAAGAAATTAAACTGAATTTTTTTCCAACTTCCCCTTATTTAATGTCCTTTACTTTCCGCTATTAAATTGTTGTAAATTTCTTAACAAAACTTTTGTAATAAAAACAATAATAATAAAGTCCTTAAGAGTATTTAAATCTGTTTGAGTTGCGGAAAAGTAACTGGAGATTGTATTTTATAATAAAAACAGCAACACCAAACGTTATCACAGCAAACGGAAATAACAATTATAAAAACTTTAACTGGCCGGAAAAGGATACCCATTGCCTGACAGAATGCATTAAAAAACTGAAAAAATAAAATGTAAAGGACGGAGGCATAACTATAAAATCGCTGAATTATGAAAAAAGTTGTCTTAATGTTGCAAAAAAAAAAAGCCACAAAAAGCCACAAAATTTATTGAGTACGTGCCTGCAGGGGCTGGCAACGCAACACCGACCGCTGATGTAAGACAACACAGTAACATTTTGAACTTTTTCAGCCATTTTGTTTTTTGATTTTTTGATGTTTTGACTTTTCAAAGTACTTTTTGTATAAAACGCCACATCACAATCCCAGCAGCAGATTAACCTTTGAAAAAATAACAAGAGGCATTGGTTGCCTTGGAATCGCAGAAAGTTTCACCACAAAACTTCAAGCCAAAAATAATAATTTATATAACGTGCAACATAAATCCTGCGCCGGTATTTTTTGATTTTAATTTTTAGTATTTTTGCACATTCTTATTTCAGTGTCCTTTCCAGATATGAGTAACACATGTGAGCACGCTAGCTGCCAGCACGAAACTACAGATGCTGCCAACAGTCCGTCAGAGTTTGAGTAAAATCAGTATTGAATACTGAAGTAAATGTCCTTAAATGTGTGCCCAATCCGAAAAGGATTTGCAATGTCATTCAAGGTGTATTGCAGTAGCGTGAAATGGGTTTCAAAAGGTTGAACAAATACTTAAGTGTAGTTTGCGTAATGTTTAGCTCTTAGTCATGTTGACAACAAACAGAGTATCTACAGTTTTGCACAGAATACAAATTGAAAGTTCTGTTTCTTGAAAAAAGTGTTTGGAACAACTAGCGACATAAACAAACTAACTATGTCTGAACTTATTGTAGAGATTTTAACTTGTTTTCCGTTGCAGTTTCGAGATTTATAGAAAAATATTCTACTTATCAAGGAAAATAATTAAAAGGATAACAGCAAAAACTTCAGTGACGTTCTTAACAGTAGATACCTGTGGGGTTTCCTGACTTATTTCCTTATGGAAATAATAGTCATACTAAATTCTGAAATAAATATTTTGCTCACTCCTTTTTAAATAACTACTAATAGTTTTATAACAATAGTTAAGAGACTTAAAAATATTACTAACTACATAATGCAAGATAGATATTATTAATCTTGTTGAAATGAGTATACTTATAGCATTTCGGACTAGTGATCATATATCTTATTAGAATATCTTATCTTATATCTTATTAGAATTAAACAGCTTGAAGAAAAGTATAATTAAAAGAGCTTATATCTGATAAATAATCTAATAAGTAATTTGCTTCAAAATTAATTGTTTTGGGTGTTTTCTAAATAATTGATATAAATGCAGGTGAAAATTTATTAACAAAGATGAAAAAAAAATTCAACCAAAAATTTCATTCAAAACATACATGAAGGTAAATACCGGTAGTTTATCCATTTAATATTCATTAATCTGATGTCTAACATGTTTTTTTCTGGCAACTCATTTCAGCTACTAAAGCGAGGCACTTACTATATTTTTTTAATAAAAACGTTCAACTTTATTCATTAATACTTTTAAGCTCTACTAAAATTTACTTTTTGTTTAAATAATATTGCGAATTCCTCACTTCAGAGGTCAATTGCTAGAATTACGAGACGAGAAACATTTACATTCAAAAACATCAATAGAGAGATACAGAGATATGCTCAGCCTAATAATATATGTCTGATGCTAATATGACTCAGATTAAACAGCTTTAAAAGAAACCCCAAGAAGGTAAGAGACAGAAACCAAACCCTCGAGCGGCTAAACAGATAGAACCACAAAACACAAGGAAGTACAAATGCTTAAATCACACTGACTTCGTGACATATTAGCAACAAATTAATAGTAAGAGACGAGGAATTCTTTCGTCAAAAACGTTCGTTAGATAATAAAAAATTGATGAATGACCAACAAAAAATACAATTTTACAATAACTTAGAGATAAGTGATTTCACCTGAAAAAAGATTGCAATATAATTTTTTAAAAATTATATTTTGAACGCGAATAGAATATATAAATCCTTTCAAGTACAAGACATAAAAACATTAAATGTTAGAAATAACAATTTTAAATCATATAGTAATATTTTATTCCTAACGTAAACATTAATCGCAGGTAAAACCATATTTAATAATTGGATGAATGTTATTAAGCACTTACCTCTTCTTTAGGCCGTTTTCGAAAGCTATGCTCACCGGCACATCCAACTCCAAATCTTCGACATCATCAATTTTATTGGCGTGTGCAACGAATTTACGCTCGGAACAACGATTATGGCCGACGTTATTCAACGAAGCCGCACCGACCCCACCGGAAATATCCGTTGCAGATGCGATTTTCGCTTTAACACCGACATTTTGCAAAGCAACAACAACAACCACTACAAACGCAATTAAACGATAACCCCGCAAAAACTGACGAGTATGTGGGAATTGCATGGTTAAAGGATTGCAAATCCGCAGCGTGAGGTACAGCATTTTTCAAAGTCTGTTCGAACAATTATCCTTTTCCACTTAAGTGGCTTGTTGAAGGCTTTTCAGTGGCTGGCAAATTGCAAATGAGTCCAATTTGCATTTATTCAAAAGAATATGTTTTGTTTGAATTCTAATTTTTCAGTCCGAGTTGTTATTTGTTGGTCTGTTGGTCAGAAAGTAACTGATTTTCGATTTTTTGGTTTTTTGCTAAAAAAGAAAGTCAAAAAGGACATTCGTTAGTCAATAAAAAACGAATTCTGTTGATGTTTGACAATCAACGTTTCCACAGCAACTTTGGATGAGTGCAGAAGGAGTAAAAGTATGCCCATTAAGTAGAATTGATTTGCGCTTGAAAATATGTAGCAATTGTCAAATTTTGATATATTTTTGTCAAATTTGGACACATTGTTGACATTCAGTTTTAGTTTTTATTGGGCCAACTGGCAATCTACTCAGTTGCCAAGTTCTACTCTTGTTGCTTGTTAACACGATATTTTTTGTTTTCTGTTTTTTTCAAAGCCTCTATGGTACTATTTCCAGGAATTTTTAGATTAACAAAATGCGCTTATTTTGCCATGGCAATGGGCTATGGGTTATGGGTTATGGTTCTACGCCTTTTATTGGCGATGTGAAAATATTTTCTGTGCGGTTATTTGCGTTCTATTTTACAGAAATGTTAAACAGAAATTTATTCCATATTTAAGTATTCAACAACTCAAGTGCGGGCGTATACTTAATTTTTTATTAAGGGGCGGAGGGCACTTTCAATTAATTTAGACTTTAGGCAATTAATTGAAAGTGAATTTAGATATTTCTGAGAAATTATATTAAAGCAATTAAAGTGATTTTGATTGTTACTTGCTTCAATGAAATGAAAAAAATGTGAATTAATAAAACCGAAAACGCAATGAAACGCAGATTTTTCGATTTTTTTTTGGTTTTGTGTGTAGGGTGTATAAGAGGCATAAGTTTGGTAAGCAAAATTAATGGACAATTAATTGGCGAAAAAAATATTGATGTTATTTTTAGGCAACTCAACCAAAAATGGTTGACATGGCAGTTGTTTAGAGTTATCAGTCTCCATTTCCAATGCCTTATGGCAAATAAAGAGGAAAGAAAAAAATTTAATAACAATGTTGATAAATTTAAGTAGAAAGCTGGCATAAAAATTAAAGATTCCATGTACCATTCAATCTGAATAATTGCTTTATTTAATCAAAAACAAATAATTAATGATAATAATCAAGTACATTAAAAATTCTTGAATTTTTCATCCCTCATTAATAAATTGGGCCAATGATGATGGATTTTAGGTAATGGATTATGGGTTAATTACTGGTGGGAAATGAATTGTTTTTTGTAACTCAACTCAGTGCATATTTAAGATTTCCTAATGGCGCATCATTTGTTTTGCTGGAATTGAAGATTTTCTATTAATGTGAGATGAGGCCTATGAAGATTCAATTCAATTCAAGTCTGACTGATATATTTAATATATAAAATTAAATTATATTTTTATTTTATTTTTGCATTTCATATTTATTTAGTATTTTCGTTTTTATGTGATATGTTTTTTCACTTAGTAATTTATTATTTTTTTGCAATGGTGCTACCTTAAAAATTACCAGGTCTGGTACACGAACTAAATGTAGTGTAAACAGTAAAAAAATGAATTGAAGGCGTTTCTATTTTTAGAGAAGATCATTGAAGACTTATCGTATCTAAGCGGAAAAACAATTGGACTATGAAAAGCAAACGGAAAGCTACTGGAAGATCAATAATAATTGAAAATGATATTACAGTGAGAATAGGATATTTTATTATTAGAATAATAAATGATTATAAAGCACGTTTAAGTCTTACATGGACTTAAATGTTGAATTTGTTATTTTATATTTAATAATTAGTCTTACACTATACTCTAGCACAGCCACATAAACCACATAAAAAGGAAATATTTAATTATGAATCAGAAAAACATTTGCATTTCATCAAGGAGATCAAATTCAAGGAATCATTCTCAGATAGTTCTTAACTTTTGTTTCAAAAAATTTAAATAATATCATTACCTTTAATTTTATTAATAATTTTACATGTATGAACTCATAATATTTAACAAATGCATTTCATTTGACTTCCTATAACAGTAAAGTCAGTTCCTCGCGATTCTTTGATTTATTTATGGTTCTCGATTTTGCATGAACTCAAGTGAAACAATGGAGTTATTAAATACCATAGTCCTAAGTGGCAATGATAACAGCCCATTTATTATCCATTAAAAATTTTTCAATATCTTTCATTTTTATATAAATTATATGTATAAGAAATGTATAAAAGGTTAGATATTGTTGCAAATGTAAATATAGATTAAAAATCGTTCTATTACGATTTTACTTCAGTAGTTAAGAAAAAGGATAGTAAATGTATAGTACTTATACTAATAAGCCAAAAAATATAAAAAACTGTATTACCAGTATAATGCTTAATTGAGGGAATACCAATCGCACGTAAGAAGATTTGCACGAAATGTAAGGTCATCTATGTAAATGAGTAAGAATATTGTATCTGTGTTATAATAAAGATAAATCAATATTTTGACAATATTTTTTTAGAAAATCTATTATAACATAAAAACAGTATTTGACACATTTGAACAATTGGATACATATTAGGATCAATTCTTTTGAGAATTTAAGTTATAGTTAAGTAATCAAAATTTGATTAGATATAATATGTTGATAGTGATATATTAATTCCAGAACACAAAAGTTTTTGAATATTAGTCAAATATTAAAATCGAATAATTATATAACTATAAGAGAAAGAGTATAGTTCAAGTGAACCAATGCATAATAATCATGAAATGTGTTTTGTTCAGATAACCAAACCATATCCAAACAGTAGAACAATAATATATTAACAGTATATTGAATATTATAATCAGCATCGAGTAACCAAATGTCATATCAAAGGAATCTGATGATCTGACGATCTACGCAAGAATTGGATTAAAAACTTTTTGAAAAGATTTAAATACTATTGTACAATCCTCTTTGAAGTTGAGTCCTTAAAAAGGAAGAGGAAGGGGGTAGTACAAGAAGGTTGATACAAGGTAGCATCAACAAGGAAACCATCAAGTCATTAAGAGAACTACGACATATGGTAAGTAACTGTAATCTGTGGAAATTCTTTCATTGAATTGAATGAATTATATAAAACTTTTCACAGACTGAAAAGCTGAAATTTTATACGAGTAATAATCAAAAACAATAAAACTGTATTAATCTTTCTCAATATTTAAATGATTTTGATCTCGGAGGTTATTTGATTCCTCCAAGCATGAAGGATAAAACACTATACGCTAGTAGTGACGAAAATCATCTCAAACATAAAAATTTGAAATATTTAAATTCAGAAGATAATCGTATTAAACATCTTACAATTTATGCGAAGAATTAATGGAATCTTTATCGAAACCATTAATTTTCTGCCGCCACTGAAATCGCAGAAAACATTATTACAACTTGTCAGGATCGATTGCACACCTTGTTGTGTGCTTGAAGAGATTAAGAACTACAGCATTTTTGAAATCTTTTGAATTTATAATAAAATTTGTAAAATTAGCATAATAATTAGCGAAATTATAGCAAATGTACAATTTAATTTGCGAACAAGCAAATTTTTTGAAATTTCCGCCATTAAATAATGAAGGAAAAAATTCAGAAAATTACGCACAACAGTAGGTAAATTGGTCGAAAAACCAAAAAAAAAGAAACAACCAAAAAAAACCAGAATCCAACATAAAAAACACAACTTAGCACACACAGGGGCGATATGTGGAAGCATCCACCTGTGGCATCATCCACTCACTAATTAACCTCAATTACGATGTCGCACTTGCCACACGCCAAATGGTGCAAAGGCAACACTGGCAAAGGCAAGGCGGCTATATGCGTTGTATGGCGACATGCGGCAAGGCCCCCTCCCGCCATAGCTCAAGGTATGGTTGGTTGGGAAGTGTATAAGTGTTTAGTGAGTGTTAGTGCAAGTGTAAGACTGCCGAATGGTGCATGCAGGCATGCGAAACGCTTGACAAATGGCGACAATTGTCGGAAAGGGAATGTTAATGGGCAAAGACATAAATAAAATATGTTTACCGATGGGTTAATGGATGGAGAATTTTTTGTATTTCTCTTGACGTGTTTCCCCTATTGTTGTTGCAATTTTAAGAGTGGCACGTGAAGTGTTGAGGCTGTTAAATTCTCGTAATAGAAATTTTAGATTGTAATTTTTTTTGTTGACATTGTAGGAAAATTGAAACGTTTTTCCTTCAATAGATTTTGTAGAATAGTTAGAAAAAATTTGTTTTTTCACTACGTTTAAATGTAGTCTATAATACTATACTAATTTTAACTTTTTCAAAAGTATTCAAATGTAAATATTTTTGTTAGCTATATATACAATAATTAACTCGTACAATTATTAACTATACTATATATCTTAAAGCAACAATACGTATGACAGTCAATATATATAATGCCTTTTACGCATTTGGCAATTGTTATCAGAAAGTTATTTTTGGGAAAGTATTCATTAATCGTTTATCTTTATTTTATCTTTACATTAAGTATATCAAATATAAAACACAAATAGGAGATTCATTTTTCGTTAGAGAATATATTTTGTAATATCTATCTTAAGATAAGTCCTCAATTTTATTTGTTTTATTGTTTTACAACTTAATCCTCAAATGTCGGTTTTAAGTTTACGAAATTAAAAAAAAAAATTATTTTATTTATTATTTTTAAACAAATCTTAAATATTTCCTCGGCATATATTATCAATGATAGAACTTTGCATGTGCAGTTTAAACTGTAGTACTCAGTCCTATGGCAGACGAGCTCAATTTAAATCTACAAAATAAACCTTAGAGTGTACAGATTCTTTACTTCCAGACAACAAAAAACCCAAATTGAACAATAGATATTTATTTTTTTTTTTTGTTTGATAACACAATAAAATTAATTTCTTTTTAAGACCGAAAGGCACCTAATACCCTTACTTTCAGAATTATTGAACCAATCAAATCTTTGTCGGTTCCTTCTTTATACCTTGTTTCTATTTTATGTTTTTGTTTATATGTTAAGGTGCGCGCCACCGAACCACCCACGAACAGGTGACAATAAAAATTTGTTGCACAAACACGACAAAACACAACAAAGCCACTTACAACTTGTTTAAGGACGAACAAAATGCCGTTCTCGTTTTTAATTTGATTTACATTTACATTTTTCTCTTTTCATTCACATTTCTCAAGCGAAAATCCAAACGAATCCGAACGATACGAAAAGAATATATTCTTTATTTAACGTAAATACACGTTTAGCACACAACAAATCCGAAATCTTTATGAACTTCCGTAGCGCACTACTTCTTTGTGCCGAAAGCACATTGCATCTGTGAAATTTTTAATTTCATTTTGTGCTTTCCCAACACACTACGACGACTACGACGACTACGACTACGACGACGACGACAAACAACAAGTCTGATAACGAAGTAGTCTTCGCAGCGACGGCTGATGTTAACGCCGACGGCAACGATGTGAAAAATTATAAAAGAATCAGTAATATGACGAATAATACAAGCAACTACAAACAAAACATCATATAGAAGGTAAACAAAGCCAAACAAAAGACAGAGCCAAACACTACCTTTTGTTCAATACGCAGCCAGTCAGTCCATTAGCAAAATCTAAAACAATATTCAACTCAAACAAAAATACATTTTCTGATTGGAAGCAAGTTGTCTAAATGTTCGATACAAGAAGCTGAAGCTGCTATACACAAATCAAACCATCGAACATTTTTTCTGGTGTACCACAACAACAAGTTGCATTGTGTCTGCTGACACTGCTGCTCTGTGTTCCGTTGTGTTCTTGTCACATTTTTTTTATTAAATTATGCTAAGCAAACATGTGCGAAATTGGCTTTGACACTGAAATTGTATTGCTGTTTTTATTGTATGTGTGTGTTTGTCTCTGCATAAAAGCCCCATAAGCGCCAAGCTTTTTTGATTTTGAATGAAGCAAGGAATTTATGAAGTTTTTACATGTGTGTAGCAAATATCAAATGTATGTAGCACACATGTATGCAAAGGTGCTGAAAATGAGTTTTATTAATACAATAAAAAAAGACAACTGTCGCATTTCCTCTGCCGACGCGTGGTATACGTAACATTTTATAGCCTCCGAGATAAGGTTTTGCATTAAATATTAAGCTGAGATTATTTTGTGCTTATTTGAATAAACCGTCGAAACTGCAGTTACACGGATTTACGTTGTAAGCTTATGTCTCTTTTATGAATGCGATATTCACTTCTTGTAGGCGAAAATACTAAGTAAATAAAACTATGTAGTTAAGGCCCTGCCAATATATTATAGCAAATATTTTGTATCAGTATTTTAAGCAAAAAAAATTATAAAATTTAATATAAATAAAATTGGATTGAAAAACATATAAAAATAAAATTTAGATATAATACTGAAGAATATTGCATAAATACTAAAATTAAATAAAATAAAAATATATGTGTAAAATATATAAAATTATATTAAACTAAATTAAATAATGTTTGAAGATAGATTGTGGACTCTGCTTGAAAGCAGACGAGACTTCCAGTCACATTCTCTGTGACTGCCCAGCCTTTATCTGGGCCAGGAGCAGGTCAGTGGGACGAAAACTACTCTCCCCTTCCGAGATTAGGAGGTCCTCAACGGCCAACTTTCTGGCTTTCATTCGGAAGGGGAAACGTCTTCTGTTCGGTTAAAGTCAATTGCAGCACAAAAGATCAACCATGGTCGCAGCGCTTCGCTCCGTTGGGAGCTGGAACCCCGTTTATTCCTATTCAAAAGTATTAAAATTAATTTCTATAGATTATTATTGGCTTAGTAAAATTGGTTATAGACAATGTTTAAACCCGAGAAGTGGACGTCCACTAACCAGAACAAGTTTATTTTTGTAAAAAAAAGGAATTTAAGAAGTAAAAATAATAGAGAGACATCAATTAAATAAACGTCGTAAAATCATTGCACTAAGTAATTACAGCAATATAATAGCTAATTTCAGGATTAGAGATGTTCTTCGAGATAATATAATAAGAATATTAAAATAGTCAATTAATATTAAATATTAAATAGTCATGACAGAGTTTTTATGTTCTGCTCTATTTTTATTCCAATTATATTTATTATAAATTTTTTAACATGTAATCGTAAATCAGATGGTAAAATATTGTACGAAAAGAGAGAAAAAAGAAGAATAGTAATGTGACAATATTAACTATGTAATTAAAAAAACCTTACTGTCTTACCTAAAAGCTTAGTTATGATTTTAGTGAGCGATACAAACAATTAATAAATTAATTAATATATATAATTACATATACTAAATTATTAATATTTTATTAATTATATAAAACAAATATATGTGCCCGTGTGTACATATATTATAAAAGAATGAATCAATTATTTTTTGTAAGATAACACAAATGTACATACACAAAAATCTGTTAGTACTTTTGTAAATGGGAAGTCTAATGCAAACTTCGAACATGTCGTTGTGTTTGAGCTCGATTGTCGTAAGTTTAAAAGCAGAAAATATTTCAATTGCTAAGCTTCAAACACGCACAAGTACGCACAAAAACGGCAAGAAGAAAAGAAAATTGCCGTCGTTTTCGGTGGTTGACAGGGAAACTGTCGCAATGTGTATTTCTGTGTGTGTGCGTATATCTGAACAAAGAAACTTTTTAAGTGTGTGTGAATGTGTGTGAATGCTTGTAGCTAAATGTATGCAGCGCTTTGAAGGATTTGCCATAGAAAGTTATATGAATTGAAAACTTTTTAAATAAAAAGCTTTTCAGCTGTCAGAAAAGACTATGAGGGCATACGTGCTTTGAGGACATATGAATTTATTTTATATATAAATGTTTTTCATTTGGATTTTAAAATATTTCCTTTTTGCAATATATAATTAAGTTAACCAATCAATTGCATCGTTTATCAAGCTTTCTCTCTAAAATTGTTAATGTTTAATTGGAGTTCAATATCAATACTATCAATTCAATTCCTTACAAATCCGGTCTAAGGTTCCATGTTCTATTGCACACAATTGAATGTTAACACAAAACAGATTTAGTGAAATCAGATACTTTTTAGAATTTTATGGTTTTTCTGTCGTCGTCTACCTCAAATCTGCACTCTGCGGCAAGTGGTCACACGAGCACAGAGCATCAATGTTGCAAACACCCAAAAAATTGTAACTAATCTGCAGTCGATTCATCGTCCACCAGCCGTACTCAAATAACATTTTTATGCTGCGGTCATTAAGTAACTGAGCGAAAAATTTTGACATTTTTTAATATTTTTATACAACACAATTGCGGAACTCATATAAGCAATTTGGGAAATCGGCGTCCGTCCGCCCCTTAGTGCTGCGCTGTAATAAAGCTCGCTCAATTAGGTGTGCACTTTAAATGGTTTCACGTTAACTGAAGTCTGAAATTTCATGATGCAATCCAACGGTGAGACGAAGGTGTAAGAACACTCGTAAACGAAAAGAAAGAAACGAAATGCAAAGCAAAAATTAAATTAAAGCAAAGTCAGCCAAAACAAATGCGCCAAAATGACTTTTATTTTTTTATTTGTTCTTTTTTTTAGTTTTACTTTAAAAATATAAAAATAAGCAACCCAAACAAAGTGAGACTTTGCATAAGGGATTTCCCGGAATTTGCTGTCAAACATCAGCGGTTTTTTCCATATGACTTCTTCACTTCTTTTTGCAATTATTTTAGTTTTTTTCTCTTTCTTTTTCTTTTGTTTTTGTTTTTGTTTTTGTTATTTGTCTCTTCGCTTTTTTGGCTTTGTGCTTGCGGTTGTATTGGTGTTACAATTTGACTCCATCACAGGTGAGTTCCGAACTGAGCTTCGAAATTTTGTAATTTTAAAATTTTGATGACATTTCATGACAGCCTTTCAGGTACCCGAGGTTTGTTAGAACACAAATTTGAAGAGACACTTGAACAAAATACAACAGTCTTTGCGGTTGGTTTATGGACACAACTTAGATATGGAGGGGGCGAAATCTGCTTCAACAGATTAGCTTGTTGCAGTCAACGTCAAGTTTTACACTTTGCACTTCGATACTTTATTTTTGGTCAGTTCGAAATTTCTACCTTACCAAATTCTACGGACTTTGATGTGGTCGCAATTTTATTGTGGTTGTTTTGTGATATGCAGATACGTGAGGGGTGTCAATTACAATTTCCAAATTAAATTACAAAATTTGTGGTTGATATAGTACATCGAGGAAAGTTAAATCAAATTTAAGAAAAATGATGGATTGATTTATAAGACATCGGTGTTTTGACGAAATTTCATTATCTCACATCATTTCAAATGAAACATTTACTTAATATTATATTTTAAGTTTCTGTGCATATACAATCGACTGTTTCATTTAAGATATAAAGAGTAAGAACTCAAATGAACTTAAAACAATCAAGTTTTTAAATTTTATATTTTTATATAACTTTTATAAGCCATATTAATAACTAACTCTTATATTATAATAGTATTTAACTAACATCACTCTGATATCAAACCATCATTTTTTCTAACGAAACGTGTAATGAAATATCCTTATGACACTATCAAATAGGAATATGAAAATAGCCAGAAAACTTTCAATCTCAAAATAATAATATAATTGCAAAAAAATTAAAACTACTCCAAAATGTAAAGTAAAAACCACTTTTTAGCAAAGCTATAGATAAAAATATTAATCATTCTAGTAAATGTTCGAAACAGACAAGACACTTACGCACTAAAGGAAGGTCCAGCATATTTGAAGTAGTAATAAACTATCGGAAGATCTACCTTATATAATAATGCAAGCAAAGAAGACTACCAACTAAGTAATGGGTTTGATTTAAGTTTGTATAATATGTATATCTGATAATTAATATAATTATCAATATAATATGTAATCTTTCAAATTAAAATATTAGAAAGTTTGAAAAGAAAAAAAAAAAATTGTTTTAAGTTGTAGGTTAAAGTTGTAAATATTGAAAAAAAATTTTACTTTTTGATTCAACTCTAATATATTGTATATTTGTTAATATCAGTCATTTTGTAAATTGTTCTCTTTCTTATAAGAGATACAAATGTTCACAATTATTTTCGGCATTAAAGGCAACAGTCTAAAATTTTGCTGCTTTTCCGAAAAGAGTCCAAAACAGTCAAAAAAAGATGCGCCTTGCAATTGAAACAGAACTATAAGAGAAATCTACTTCAGTGGGAATGGTGAAGTACTATTGCGGTCACTGGCGCTTCTACATTTTTTTAGCACTTCATCAACTTCATACCACATCAAAATGATTGACAT